TTACTCCCATAATTCATTACTAATGGAACACTGTCAGTGTTTTCAACTGACAGTTCACACAAATGCTCCTCAGACACCGAGACACCTCACGGTGACTGATGACCAGACCCTCGCATGCTGCTGTTGAACGAGGCAGACCTGGGCTGCCTGGACCCCTCACCTCCTGCTGGCTCAGCCCCGGGCATTTGATTTTAGACTATTCTGTTCTGTCTGTGAGCAAACCCCAAAGGGGAAAAGATGATTAACGCTTCCCTTTCTCTTCAGGGACTTTAGAAGACTCATTTGGGGACTCCCCAAAACTTATAAACATTCAGAATCCTGCAATCTGGCAGATCGCAGTGCTATGGCCAACTGTGCGCGGAAGTTTTAAAGGTTAATATTTTAGAATGCAATCATAGATAAAGAGCGCGACAGTCAGGAGAGGAACAGGGGAAGCAGGTTCAAGAACTGCATGATTTTGTGACGTCTGCTCTTCCCCCAGTATAACTGAACCATTAGTCTTTCTGGTTTTGCAAAAAAACAATGCAAAACTTACTAACACACTTGCTGAGTAAGGGGTGAAAATGTTTTATTCAGATTATGTATCTAACATTGTACCTGTGGTGGCTACCTTGTCCTTTCCTTCGGCTGTAATACTGTCTGATTCATTCATTCATTCATTCATTCATTCATTCATTCATTCATTTGTTGGCTACCTTGTCCTTTCCTTCGGCTGTAATACTGTCTGATTGATTGATTGATTCATTCATTCATCATTCATTCATTCATTTTTTGGTGGTGGTTTGGTTTTGTTGTTGTTGTTATTACTGCTGTTTTGAGACAGGGTCTTACTATGTAGCCCTAGCTGGATACTGACTGTCCCTTTTAAAGCCCAAACTTCTAAAGGGCAGGGACAATGTTTTTGTTATATATCTGAAATTAATAATTTCCCATTGAAAATGAGCGATGTCCATAGTTATAGGTGAGATAAAAAAAATGCCAATATGACATATTTTGTGATATATGTGAATGACATTACTACACATAATTTTTTTTGGGGGGGGTTGCTGTTGTTGTTGTTGTTGTTTTTTGAGGCAGAGTTTCTCTGTGTAACATCTCTGGCTGTCCTGGAACTTGCTTTGTAGACCAGGCTGGCCTCAAACTCCCAGCAATCTGCCTGCCTCTGCCTCCTGAGTGCTGAGATTACACATGTGGGCCACCACCACCCTGCCCATGCGCCATCACTGCATGGCATAAATATTTAATATATTAGAGAAAGTTCCAGAACAGTCAACTTCTTCAAAGCATTGTAAAATACAAGTGAAAGTCTAATGTAGTAGGCTGCATGTTGGGGTTTTGGTTATATTGTGTGGTACAGAATGAACACATAGTCTACTTTGTCACCCACTCACCCAACCCCTAGGACTTTTTTGCTGGCTTGGGGTTACCAAACATCTTAAAACAACATTGCAGAAAACCCCCATTCATCATTCATCAATCGTCAAAGTGAAATGTAAGCCAGGCATGGTAATGCCTGTCTGTAATCCCAGAATTTAGGAGGAAGGAGAAGGACATGGCAAACCAAGAACAACCTGGACTGCACAGCAAAATTCAGGCCAGCCAGAGCTATGTAGCAAGACTGTCTCAAAGAACTGGGGGAGGGTCTGGGGGTGGGAGCCTCTGGGGAGGTGACTCAATGAGGAAGTGTACTCACAACGCAAGCTTAAGGGCCTAAGTTTAGATCCCAGCATCCTCATGAAAAGTCAGGCATAGCTGCTCACATGCCTGCGACCCCAGTGCTGTGGGGGACAGAGACAGGAGATCACTGGGTCTTCACAACCATCAGCCTAGCTCCAGGTTCAATTAGAGCCCCATCTCCAGATAACAAGGTGAATGGAGGAGCAGGACACCAAATGTCTTTGTCGGGCCTCTCCGCATGCACAGGAGCCGGGTGCACCCACACATAGGTGTTCATACACCTCACACACATGTCACCCAAACATGCTCTCTCACACAAACACCAAAAAAGGAGGAATAAATGAAATGTATTTACTCAGGCACAACATCTGCCATGCAGTAGATATTATATAACCATTTGCTAAACTGAATACATGAACTCCTCCACCTCTTTCTACATGAAAGCGCACTGTTAGGATATCCTTCCAATGTCAGCTAAATCATTACTATTTCTCAAAAAGTGTCATCATAGGTATTCCAGGCAAGTAACTGAATCATAGAAATACTACTGGAGTCATGTAGTCAGTCTCTACTGTGTGAAGGTGTTTACCATTCAGGCATGAGGGAAAATGTGCACAGAGAAATATAATTTATAACTGTTTGCAAAGTATAAAACCCATATCATAGAAACTTGGGGCATGGTAGGCCACCAAGACAACTGAGCATGGAGCGGAGCTTAAGTTTCAATGGTAGCTGTCTGAGTAAATTAGGATTCTGAGAGTCTTAGTACTCTAGAATGACATGAGTGTATTCATCCGGGGCACCTCCCACCTGCTGCTCTCCTCACACCCTTTCCCACAGGTGCTCTCTACGAGAGCTACCATAAACCTAAAAAGAAGCATGGAAGGAAAGATGCAGGCTCCACACCCGACTCTAAGCCATCTCTCCTTAGCCCACGGAGGATGTATGCATAGCTGAAAAGCAACGGAGCCAGCAGCCTGCATGGTGGCCCCGGGATTATGGCCTCCTTGTGTGGACTATTATCTTCTTTGCACCTTGTTCTCATAAGTAAAATGGGCACCTCGATAAAAGCCAGGATCATGAGGTTGTAACAATAATTAAATGGGATAAATAAAGATGTGATGGTTGGGTGTGGTGGCCTATGCCTTTGATCTCAGCCCTATTCAAGGCCAGCATGGTCGACTTAGTGAGATGCAGGACAGCCAGGGCTACGTAGAGAGACCCTATCTCAAGAAGATGATTGATGAAATGTCAAAAAATAAAAAAGATCATTACTTGATACATGAAGAGTATTGCCAAGTGTTGAAGTGTTGGGCGCTATTTTTAGTTTACAGTCATAATGGTGTGTGGGATGTTCTGTATGTTAAATGTGTTGCTCTGATTGGTTAATAAATAAAACACTGATTGGCCAGTAGCCAGGCAGGAAGTATAGGTGGGACAAGGAGAGAGGAGAATTCTGGGAAGTGGAAGGTGGAGGCAGAGAGATGCTGCCAGACACAGCTATGAGTAGATGTAAGATACCAGTAAGCCACGAGCCACATGGCAACTTACAGATGAACAGAAATGGGTGGATTTAAGATATAAGAACAGTATAGGCAGAGAAGAATAGGCCTGTCTGTCGGCCCTGGCCTGGCCTTGAGTCTCTCCCAGCATTAATGTCTAGAGAGGGGACCTCTTGGAGGCACCATCCACCTCCCCAGGCCCAGTCACTGTAGCTCAGCGTGGGTGGATGCATGCGCGTGCCGTCCACTCCGTGTACGGTATCTTACTGGACAGAGCCGCCTCTCCGGGAAGTTCACAGGCCCCGAGGGTATGTCAGCGTCACTGGAGTCACACAGTAATAAATTAAACCAATGACAAGACATAAGAACAGTTAGCAAGAAGCCTGCCACGGCCATACAGTTTATAAGCGATAGAAGTCTCTGTGTGTTTACTTGGTTGGGTCTGAGCAGCTGCGGGACTGGCAGGTAAAAGAGATTTGTCCTGACCCTGGGCCAGGCAGGACCAGAAAAATTCTAGCTACAATGGTGGGCAGATATGGTCACCTTCAATTTAGAACATTAGTTGACCAGTTTCTCATCACTAAGCTTTATTGAACATCTAAAATCTGTACCCCAAACATAAAAATATCCTGAAAGTGGTCCTAACCTAAGACACTGGGTGGGACATTCTTTAACATTATGGCAATTCTCTCTGGGTCATCCTTCACTGACTCAGTGCTCTACCCTACACATCCGTCCCACTGGCTGAGTGACTCCAATGAGTTGGTCTTTGCTTGTTACTCATTTTTAGCTTTTCATTGTTTAGTATTTACCCACTATCCTTTTAACCCATAAGCTTTCAATTTTCAACTCATAAGAACAGTGAGGGTGGAGGTCAGCAATGTTAGTAAAAACAGGGAGAATAGCCGCCATAACCTCTGCCCATGAAATTAATATGCCCTCTTATTAAATTAATAATTTAATATTAATTAATTACATTGCCAAATAAATATGCCCTCTTAATTTGAGGAAAACAACTTATCCTTGTGCCTTATTCAGTGTTCCATTGCCATGAAGAAACACCATGACCACAGCAACTCTTACAAAAGAAGTCTTTAATTGGGGCTGGCTTACAGTCTCAGAGGTTTAGTCCATTCTCTTCATGGCAGGGAGCATGATGGTGTACAGGCAGACATGGTAGCTAAGAGTTCTATATCCAAGTCTGAAGGCAGCAGGAAGAGAGAGACTCTGGGCTTGGCATAGGCTTCTGAAATGTCAAAGCCCACCCCCAGGGACCCACTTCCTCCAACAAGACCACACCTCCCAATCCTTTCAAATCCTTTCACCACAGCCTGGTGACCAGGCATTCAAATCTATGAGCCTATGAGAGCCATTCTTATTCAAACCACCACACCTTGCAACATTCTGTCCAGCGTACAAATGTAGACCATGAGGCCAGGGATCACCTGTTCAGGAATTACAATATTGAGGTTTGAACTCACAACTGAAAGTCCTCAGGCACCCATCATCTCCAGTTCCTTCTAATGAAGAAGGAATTTGAATATCACATTATTACTGTTATTTGTGGTATAAACCCAAATTTAATGTATTGTAATTATTGGACTTCTAACTAATTTTGAATAATGAAGATGTATCTGAATAGCATGAAAAATCTGTCAGTTTAAAAGAACAGGATAAAATGATACCTTCTGTACTGGCTCCAAAATGATTAAAGGAAACAACTAGATTTCTTCAAATTACTGTTGAAATTGATGCAGCACTGGATTGAAAATGAGTAAGGGTACAATCACCATACACAGGTGGCCCGACTTACCCCTTGGAAATATCACCTTCATTAAATGGCTCTTGAAGAAACACTTGCATTCTCTGCGGATGAGAAGCATTTTCAATACACACACACACACACACACACACACACACACTCACTCACTCACTCACTCACGCACTCACACACGTGCACACACACACTCTGGAGGAGACAATGAACTCTTCACTCTGGTGGCGAACACTCCTGGTCACTTCCTCTTGGTTGGGATAGCAAAGGCCATTGTTAGCCTGTAAGAGAAGATAATGAGAAGAGTACAACCCTTCACACCTAAGGCACTCCCAGGTGAAGGTGTCTAAATGACAGAGGCCGTTACAAGTCAATAACTCATATGACCTCAGGAAAACTCCACTGCTGAAACTCTCCCTCAACCATTCCCTAAAATCATCTCTCTAGATCAGAAACATGCAAGTGATGAAATTACCTTATTAACCATCAAAATAAAAGGAACCTTGAGAATAAAGTTGTCATTCTTAATTAAAATGGGCTTTTTAATTCCTTTACACTAACTAACTAAAGTAGATACTAATACTGGAAACACTTAGCTAAAAGAAGGCTTCTATCCACACCCCAATTAGTGAACACTTAATTTGTATATGTTGCAGCTCATAGCTGTTTGCCAGTGTGGTTGGGGTAAGTCTCTTTGGCCTACTTTTTAAATGATTAAACACTCTCCATCCAACCAAATAGACATCTTCAGAGTTGTATTTTGCATGCTTAAACAGTCTGTAAACACACAAGCCATCACTCAGATTTAAGGGGGGAGCAGAGAGGGGCACCTAGTGCCAGTACATTCATTACATGTTTATTAAAGCTGGACTTTTCCACGGGGGCGTGAACAGCTAAAAATGAGTCTGAGTTTAATAACAAAGTGAGCGCATTCTAACACCATAAAAATTATAAAATTTTAATGTATGATGTCTTCCTTAATTATAGAAAACTGCAAAGAATAGCATCCTTGAAGTTTACTATGTGAATGCTCTTAATCTACGACGCATTTCTCCTTAAAACACGAGTATTAAATCTCTATTAGATTTGTTGAACTGATGTACTAATATGCATCGCTAAGATCTTAAATTTCTAAGTAGCAATGCTGTTTGTTAGGTATAAATAAGGATTACCTTAATTAAAATACACTATCCCCAGTCTCTCTGTAGATCTGGCTCCGTCTTTATATAGGACAGGTTCATTATCTATCTCCAGTTAATAAAAGGATGACCTACTGTGGTTACTTCTTTTAAAATTTAATTTTAATTACTATTTTGCTAATGGAAATAAAGCACCAAAGAATCATGAATATGATCCAAAAGCAATTTTGAAAACTTAATTAAAATACCTCTTGAAAGCTTCAAAAGGAATTTAGCACTTGCATGGCTTGATGACTGGTGGCCTCACAAATACAGCATTAGATATCAAGGCTATAAAAAAGAAAGAGAAGAAGAAGCATGGAATAAAACATGTTGCAGAAGTGTGACACTTCTCTCTGCATCTTGAACTAAGGGGTCAACTAAATAGGTGTAAACACAAAACTTTTAATTCAAAACTTTACCATTCAACAAAGGCCCTGAACAAAGAAATGGAATGAGTGCACATCATTCAACACCTCTCCAACACATAAAACGTAAATGCTTTTAGCCTTTTGCATAAGACCATCACGGTTTAATCCGGGAGATTGCGCATATGTTTAGTTTATCTTTTGGCCCTTCGGGACCTGAATATAAAATTAAAAGGCTGCTATATGTTTTGTAAAATTCAGTAGCAGAGTTTTATTAGGGCAGCTCCCTCTTCCATCCAAATTTCAAAGGTTTACACATATATTATTGATCTTATCTGCGAACATATTGGTTCAGTAAGGAGCCTTTAAACATAACACATCCGTGGGTTTTATTGAGATTCACTACTCCTCATGAATAAGATAAGAATATGAGATGAGGGCTATCACAAAGAGCATGCTCCAGGCTAGAAACCCAGTCTTTGTGATAGTCAAAATATATTTAGCAGCTCTTACATTACAAACCTAGTAATGTTATGGTTCATAAATGCAATGTGTGTTTTTGTACCAGACTACTTGACTGCTTCCCGTAAGTAAAATCTCTGAAGTCATTAGCAATAATGAATTTTCCCTTTGATTCTGTCCATGGATAAAAAGCATTGTGCCAGACCCTATCCTCAACCCAGTTACAGAAGAAGAAACATTATATTTAACATAATGTCATGGATCTTGACTTTTAGAGATTGACATTTAAAATTCATTTTTTAGTATTTCTTTATTTTTGTTTTATGTGTATGAGTGTTTCTCCTGCATGTATGTCTGTGATTCTTATACATGCCTGATGCCTGCAGAGGCCAAAAGAGGGCCTCAGATCCATCCCCTGAGACTGGAGTTATAGGAGGTTTTGAACCACCCTCTGGATGCTGGGATCCAAACTCAGGTCCTCTGCAAGAATACCTTGTGCTTTTAACTGCTGAGGCAACTCTTCAGCTTGAAAATTCAGAATTTTTAAAAATCAACTTTAAATGAGCATATGACCAAAATGATGGACTAAATACTAAAGTCTCACTGAGTTTTTAAAATTCTAGATTAACCTAGAAATGTGATTTAAATTAACACTCACAAATTAAAACAAATTGAACTAACTATAGGCATTCTAATATAGATAAAGTCACTTACACCTATAAACGATAAGCATTCTAACATATAGTCACTCACACCTGTAAACTATAGGCATTCTAACATAGAGTCACTCACACCTGTAAACTATTGTATTCTAACACAGACATGGTCACTCACACCTGTAAACTATAGGCATTCTAACACAGACATGGTCACTCACACATGTAAACTATTGTATTCTAACACAGACATAGTCACTCACACCTGTAAACTATTGTATTCTAACA